TGGGAGCCTCTGCTGACATCAGAACATGATGCCCATATAACTAGCATGGAGAAAGGAGTAAATTTGCCTACCTGGCTTTGGGTATGGAGTACCCATAACCAGGTAGAGAAGAATGTCACTTAGTCCATCTCACCTCTCACTTCAGGGAGAAAATGCTATTTTTTTCTTTTATTAAACATATTGGATACATGAGCACATACATAACTGATAATATAGGAAATTATTACATCAAAAAACACAGCAAGGCAAGAAAAAAAAGAAAATCAGAAAAAAGAGATTAATATTGTTAACACAAAACCAACCAACCTCCACCTTGATATAGAAAATACCATTGCAATGCAAACCCACCTGTACTCACCCTTAACCCACCTCTACCTCTATAGCTATATGTATTTTTATATCTATTTCTTTCCCAACTTAAAAAGTTAGCTTCTCATTTGTCCAAAAAACAATATATAATATTTGCCCCTTTAGTTATTATGTTCATGCCTTATGTTGGAAATTACAACTTTCTTCAAGCCTCCTCTAGTAATTTGTTCATCTGTAATCCTATTGTTTCCTTATTGTGTGTATGTTCTGAATGCAGCTTTCTTTCCTTGCTCTATGTTTTTCTGAGAAGTTGTGGGAGGGGCAGCAGACCACATGATTCGCTCTGAGACAAGCACAGGGCACAGACTCCTTTAGACTTTGGGACAGCTCAAATTGCAGACTTGCAAACATTTGCTTGCAGTTTATTGTGAGAGAGATGTTCTGACCAGATGGCACAGAAATGATTGCAAACATATCTGTAACTGACTGATAAGTTATGTACCTTTGTATGCTGAACACATGAAAGTCGTGAGTAAACAAAATATGTTTTTTTTTCTTTTGTTTCTTGAGTGCATACTATAAAACAAGTTGTTTTATGGAAGAGGAGATATATATTTTGGGCAATGAAGAGCACTTCTGAAGAAGTGCCATTTTTATGCACTGGCATATTATCTGTTTTCCTAACAAATCAGAGTCAGTAGTTGTTCAGTCTAACAACTGAAGCCAATTACCTTGCATATTTACATTTGGTTGTATACCATTGAGAAGATTAGACTCAAACAGGTTTTTGGCTTTTCTCTAAAAGGTTATGAATACAATTTTCTAAAAGGTTATGATCTCTAAAAGTTCAAGCTTTTCTAAAACCTTACATTCTTATATTGTGTTCATTCTTTATTTCTGCACTTCCATATTTAAAGAAGAAAAAATAAAATCACAAACGTGTTCCTTGTTGTCCTATATTTCTTAAATTTAGCCAAAGTCGATTTTGCTTGAAAATCTGCTGGCATCACCTCCCCTTCTCTTAGGATCAGATAAAATGTAAGCATCTCCTGTTCTTGTGCAAACTGTTCATTAGGATTTTCTTTCAATAGCTGAGTTACTTCAATCTCTGCAGCTTCTGCTAACCTGCTAATCCATTTATCCTCTGATGAGAGAAAAATCTCTTGAGCCAGTCCTCCTTTGGATATAATGTGTAGCACTGGCTATCAGAGTGTGACAAAGTTGGAGGGTTTGGGGATTACAGCTCACAAAACCACCCAGTCAGTATTAGTCAGTGACCATGTCGGCTTGGTGCTTCTGTGAGTTGCTGTCCAAATAAGATTTCTTTTTTTCCAGGCTCTGATGACTATCGCATCATACTTCACATTTACTTCATTCAAATTTTCATTACAATCCAGAAGTAATAGTTCTGGTCTTGTAACCCTTGTTGTCACATTCCAGAAAGAAATGAGGGCCTGATAAGACTAGTTTATCAGACTGGCAACAGCCCTTTTTCCTGCATTATTTCCTTGCTCCTTTCCTTGATTCCTTCCCTGTGCAGCGGTTTCAGAAAAGATAATCATATTTTGTTACTCTCGATTCCCTTTGACATCCAGGACACTGCATTTTAAGTGTACTTACTAAACAGGATATATTTTGGGAAGTGGAGCGTGAGGGAAATAATATGCAGGCACAGGGTTCATTCTCAGTTTGAACAGTGTTATTCTGGTGGCAAACCCTTGCCTGTACTATTCGAGACTCCAGGTACAGCCTTATACGCTTGGAAGTGAATCTTCACTAGTTGGTGTCATTTTTCATTTACTTTATTTTGTGGACAGAAACACTCAAAAGTGTATCCATATTATACAGTAACAATTATAAAAATGTGATCTCACTGTAACTACCATAGCTCCCACTACAATATTTTGGGGTTTGCAGTTTGCAGAAGTCTAAGAATTATCTGCTGGGGAGCCCTACTCCACTCCCATGAACTTGAGGATTAAAGTGCTGAAACAAAGAATTTATCAAACACCATATCCCAGAATTGCATAGGATGGAAATAGGGATTACAATGATACTGAATTCTTATAATTGTGATTGTGTAAGGTGGCTGTATTTAGATTGTTTCTCTATCGCAAAAAAAGTAAATATGAAAATCCCTTTCCTGCAGAAAATAAGCATGTTGGCAAGTCTATATCACAGTCTATGTTCCAGCACTTTACACCTATTTAGCTACATACCAGGGATGCTACAGAAACTTCCTAGTGAATTATGAAGATGTCTACCAGGGCACTAGCAATACGTGCATTCGCTCTTTGTAGCCAAAGACCTGATGCTCATCAGACTCTACAAATGCACACCAGCAGTTGTCTAGACACCAAGAGCATATAGATCCTACTGTGCAACGCTCACCTCACTGACTCCTCTACATACTAATGTTGCAACATGCTGAATATGGATATAGTAAAACTGCTCATTTATTTCATGCACTATAAGCCTACTTATGTCTGCCATAAATGCTAAATTCCCATACTGAATTCCAGCCCATATCCTTTAGATTAAGTATGCATTCATGAACATTGACATTTGTTTTGTTTAAATGTGGAGAACATTGAAAGTGGAAGCCATAGATAATAATGAACCATATTGAAATAAACAATTTCTGATTGAAGTTACCCTAGAATCACCCTAGAAGACCCAGAAGATTCCTAGGAATTTACTAAATCCTCCAGGGTGACTCTATAGACCTCATCATAAAGGCCCATGGATGCACCCCGCATTGTAGCGAATCCATGGGCTCCTGGTTAGGGGGGGTATGGAGACCCCTTTTCACCATGCTACACATTGCCCACCTTACCATGCCCCTCATCCCATGGATGGAAGCATTGCCACCTGGTGTCTCCCCATTGCTGGGAAAGCAACACAGGGAGCCTCCTATGTTGCTGCCATGGCGGCGTGTGCCACTTCCTCTTCCTTTTCGTCATGGAGCCCGGTTGGAACTGTCTATGGGTCATTGGGAAGGGCTCCATGGTGAAAATGGAGGTAAAGCAGCATACAATGATAATATATAATTATAACTTTATTTTTAGTTTTCTAAGATCTACAGAGACACTCGCTGGAACACCCCAGCAAGTGAGAGTCCAAAAGTGGCAGGCTATAACCCAGAACCTCAATCAATGGCCGATACCAAATGAGAGACTCCCCCCTGGGCACACAGAAAACTGGGCGACTTGGAAGGCGCTGAACAGACTGCACTCTGGCATCACGAGATGCAGAGCCAATCTTAAGAAATGGGGCTATAAAGTGGAATTCACGACATGCGAGTGTGGAGAAGAACAAACCACTGACCACCTGCTGCAATGCAACCTGAGCCCTGCTACATGCACAATGGAGGACCTTCTTGCGGCAACACCAGAGGCACTCCAAGTGGCCAGCTACTGGTCGAAGGACACTTAATCAACTACCAAGCTTGCAAACTTTGTGTTTTGTCTGTCTGTCTGTCTGTCTGTTTGTTTGTTTGTTTGTTTTGTTAAAAATGAAATACAAATGTCTAGTTGCTTCTGACACGATAAATAAATAAACTTTATATTTATACCCTGCTACCATCTCCTGGAGGGGACTTGGGGTGGCTTACATGGGGACAAGCCCAACAATCACAGATAAAAACAACAGCATTCAAACCAATCAAATAAAAACATAATACAGTCACAACAACATCATAAAAACAATATCATAGCTGAAAACAGAATCACATCTGTGCAGTGAATTCCTAAGTAGAGCCGAGGGAAAGTGCAAAATTCAAATGTTCCAATCTAGAGGAAATACCTTGGCCATAATGTGTCGAGATTAGTGAGGGGTGGGCCGAACTAAAGTGCAGGAGCTTAAATAGGGCTGAGCCAGTTATCTGGTGAACTGCCTAATCAAATGCACAATGGAACATCCAAGTTTTTAAGTCCTTATGGAAGCTGCTTAAACAGGGGGGTTGACCACTCCCTGTAGCTATTCCCTTTAGCAACCTGGCCACAAATCTTTGGACCAACTTCAGTTTCCGGGCCATCTTCAAAGGCAGAAATGGGCAAATTGGCCTGTGTGATGAGGTGGTATGGTAACTTCTATCAGAAGCATATCACAGAATTGCCTAGAATACCTAGAAAATTCCTACAGAGGACATATTTTTTCACATGGGAAGGTGAAACCACATATATTGTCCCGCAGGTATGGGGTTCATAATGTATAGTGGATAGTTGTATAGTGGATAGTTGAGGAAGTATTTTTGCCATGTTAGTAAGTAGCTTAGACTTGACAGATTTATTTGTCAAATTATTCTGGTAAGCACTCATTTTCTACCACTTTCACTGCCCTTATAATTTCCCTCATTTCACCCATTATGATGACAGCATTTTGATTAATTCTGCGGTGTGGTAGTTATTTCTAATTTCCCATTTCTTGGAATGAGATTTTCCATAGTGTATTTTATAAAAAATGTTTGGAGTCCCATTTCAGTTATTCACAACCTTTGGCCAAACCTGAGCAATATTTCTTCTATATATTCTAATCTTCTGTTAATTGTTACACTGAAGCTCAACGATTTTGGTTCAATGGCTCATTGGAATTTACTTAAAAGGTGAAGCCAGATGTAATGATTTCCTATTGTTGTGAATCTTGTCTAAAGGCCATGTTATATTGCTGTTTTGCTTAACTGTTTTCTTTAGCTCTTCACTTTTGGTTGGAGGGAAGACATCCGGCCAGGAGAACCTCTTCACACCAGAAAATTCTGCTTTGATGCTGTGTCGCATAGTAGTCCTGTCACACTTTATGACTGCCATGGTATGAAGGGCAATCAGCACTGGAGCTATAGGAAGGTTGGTATTATTTGTAGTTGTCTAATTATATTTAATTATAACTTTTTGGTGACTCACTGAAGAGACGTATGTGTTAGTTCTGTCAAAATGTGTTCCTTTTTACATTATATGGCTGAGTTGAAACACACAGAGACAGACCCAGTCTGAAACATGACCCTCCACAGACCTCTCTTCTTTCAGCACAATGTATTGCCATCTTGGGGGGTTGCCATTATTTGGGTCAGAGTTAAAATTAATGTGAATTTCATTCAGCACCAATTGAGGAACCTATCCTCAGAAGGATGCTTTTGTCATTCTGGTACTTCAAGACACGTGAATCCTTTTAACAAAGCCAGCCCTGAAAAAAATATATTTTCATTCCATGTGACAGGCACAGGAAAAGCTCACAGGGAACAGATAATTCTAATATAATATTTCTGTGTTTTAAGGATTGCAATTGGCAGATATGCAAAATGTTGCAAAGATCAGCCTGGCATCTAATGAAACCAAGCAGTTTATAGTTTAAGGGTCAGTGGGCCAAGATGCCAACTGCATTTCAAGCCGTTTTATGTAGCGCTAAAAATAGGTGAGCTGTGACGGAATCTGTGCATGACCTTTACTTGTTCGCATTTGCTAGTTACTATAACAATGCTTTGGAAGGGTATGATTGATTGCAAGTGCGGTGGGCACAAGCAAGAGCCCTTGATTAACCTTCCCATTGCAAGCCTCAGTGGAGCCAGAGTAGATATACCTTACGTCTTTGAAATGCTGGAACTCCATATTTATGTATCCATCACCATAACAAAGTATACATTTCTTGACAGCCACTATTTTCCCCATGACTGAATGGCTGCTATCTTATGGACATTTGCTTTGTGAGTAAACCCATTTCTATTATTAGTGGCAAGAATAGTCCTAGCATAGAGATGGAAATACACTGTGGAAGTCCCTGTATATGAATAAGACTAGAAATTTAAGTCAAAAAATCAACCCAAAAAGCCTGGATCAGTTTATCCATGGGTCAACTATACTTAACTCTTATTTAAAAGGAAACTATCCCCTTCTCTAAGTAAAGTAGCAAAAGGCATTCAGGTAAAACCTAATTGAAGCACTGACCCCACTCAACTCTCTCCACCATAGCATTGATTTGGGCCTTTTGAAACTTGGAAAGGGAAATGTTAGTGTTAAGTAAACTAGTCCAACGGGCAGCAGCCAGATTACTCACCGGAGCACCATGCAGGGAGCATACCACCCCCTGCTGCGTCAGCTCCATTGGCTGCCGGTCCACCTCCAAGCACAATTCAAAGTGCTGGTCTTGCCCTACAAAACCTGATATGGCTCCGGCCCAGCTTACTTATCTGATCATATCTCTCTCTATGTTCCACCTCATAATTTAAGATCTACTGGGGAGGCCCTGCTCTCGGTCCCACCAGCGTCTCAAACACCTGGTGGGGACGAGGGACAGGGCCTTCTCGGTGGTGACCCCCCACTTATGGAATTTGCAGCCCAGTGAGATTAGATCGGCGTCCTCCCTCCTTACTTTTAGGAAAAAACTAAAGACGTTGTTTTGGAGCCAGGCCTTTGGCTAGTGGGCACAGCAACACTTTAGGCACTGAACTCGGACAATAGGATTGTTTGAAAATTAGAAATGGCTTTATGACCTGTGATAATGTGATTTGTTCTATGTGATTATGTAATTTTAATTAATATCACTGTTTAATTGTTATGTAATTGATTTTATATTGCTGTTTTATATTGTTGTTTTGATACTGTTGGCATTGAAGTGTTAGCTGCCATGAGTCCCCCCTCGGAGATGAGAAGGGCGGGGTAGGAATGGTCTAAATAAATAAATAAATAAATAAATAGTGTCAGTTCCTTCTCCACACTGTCCTTCTTTTGTATGGACTTGAAGACGTGGCTCTTCAATCAAGCCTTTGAGAATATTTAGCCCCTAGTTGCCCTACGTAGTAATCACACATCCTGCATTTTATCCTATGCCCTCTCTGCATTCCTGCAGCTGGCACTTATTTTATTCCAATGTTTACAGCCCGCCCATGTTGCCAGTAATTTACCGCCACGGTTAGAGGATCACAGCTTGATTGAGTTTGAATTGATGTTTTATATGTGCATGTGTTTTATTTTATTGTATTTTATATTGTGTTCAATTTTATGTTTGTTTTTAGGCACTTTGTGCCATCTGTAAGCCATCCCAAGTCCCTTTGGGGAGATGGTGGAAGGGTATAAGAGTAAAATTATTATCATCATCATCATCATCATCCATGGAATAACTCTTGACTTATTAAGGGGTCTTATCAAAATCCATAATTTTGGTCTTAAACCCTGCCCTCAATTTATACATGAAGTCAACTTTTATATATGTATATATGGTAGATCTTCTCACATGGTAAAGGAGAATTTAGTACCTTGCATTAATAACTGCATGTAACATTCTTACAGGCAAAACTAGGACAGGCATATTTATTGGGACATTCATTGTTTTTGTAAACCATGCTTTTGATATCCCAACTTCAATCAGTTCAAGCATAAATACTGGAAAGATTTATTATTGTATCTTTGATACTTTCTATTTTGCATATTTGAAATTCAGAATTATTGACTGGCAAGCAAGGAAAGAAACTGTGGAAAATTGATTAGGGTTGTCTTATAATCTCCTATTTATGTTTGTATTTTATTTATTTTGTTTGTTTAATGCACAAAACATTGAGGAGAGCAAGTGTTACTGATGTGCTAGGAAACATGTTGTGAGACATACCACCACCTCCCACCCATCTACACCACCCTATGCATAACCTCGAGGGACAGTTCCAATTAATTCTCTGTCATGCCACTGTTTGAGCTGTTTTTAAAATTTTTACAGTTTCTCTCTCCTACTATTGCTATCCTCCCTTGCCCTTCAGGCAATTTCTGAGTTCAAAGTGCAAAAGCAATTTGCAATAAGGGAGGAGAGGAGAAGATGAAGCAGAATCTTGCCCTTCTTTGCAGACTCAGAGGAAAACAGCAGCCTTTCCAAGTTTGTGTATTTTTGGTTTTCTCTCTTGATGACACTTTGATGTTGCTTGGACACACATTTCCAAGTTTTATTTTGTGAAATGTTGCAAGGTGTGCCTAGTGCCCCTTGCCATTCCCACTGATGCCCAGACACTGATCTGTTGCAGACTATTGCAAGCCTGTGCCACCCTTCATAAACTCTCAGCCAGATTCATGATAGCAGTGTCCACTGTGGTTTGTTTTATTCCTCAGATATGAGATTGTCGGCCTGCATGAAATTCTTTTGATACCTAGCTTCTGTACCTGCAGTGGGACTGGACAATGCTTGAAGCAAAGAGACCTCACAGTGCCATCTTAACAAGGCTTTTCTAGAGGTTCTTCCCTGCCAGCAGGACTTTCTAATTTGAGATGATTCACCAAAGCATTCAGTGGCACAGAGTAGGATTCATGTCAGATCTACACAGTTCAGATGGTTTGACAGTCATTCTTTCCTTCTTTCCAGGGAACTATGAACACTGTAGACAGATGTATAATTGGGGTGGGAGGTAGGAAGCCAAGACTCCTCTTGAAGAGAATTTCTCAGCTCATCTATGTACTAATTACAAATTTGCAAGAATTCTTGGGGGGAGCAGGTAAATGATAAAAAGGAAAAAATGGCTATTCTGCTGGTTGGAAGAAACAGAATAAGCAATTTGGTGGGATAAAAGGAATCTCTCCACCTGGGGAGCCTGGAGAAAGGTTTAGAATCAGCATAGAATGAGAAATGCATCAGAGAGAAGAAAAACAGCAGGGGTAAAATCTGATGGGATTTCTGTTATCTGAAACTGTGGATGGGAAAGCCTTGAGGTTTCTATCAGACTTTCAACCTTATTCTACCCTAATTTCTCCCCATCTTCATCCACACTCATACAGAGACTATCCCATGACACTCAGCCACTTCCAGGAGCTGTGCAAGGAAATCCGTCTCGCCAACGTACAAAGACGGTCAGAAGACTTCATTTTCAAGAGTCGACTGTTTCTCAACTCCTGATTAAAGGCAGCAGTGGGAAGGGGAGGATCACAGAATCATAGAATTCTACCAACTTCCCGCTGTTGTCTTCAATCAGGAGGAAAGCTAGAAGAGGATGGGGAAATGTTGTGGGATGGCTGGCCATCCCCAAAGACAAACTTTGCTGGGATATATCAGGTCCCTACTCTTAAGAATGCTTTCCCCCACTTTCCTCCACTCCCCCCCCCCCCACTTTCCTCCGGCCTGTGGGATAAAGTCCTATGTGCATTCATTAATACCTTCTGTGAGTGTTTAGTTCATTTGTTTTGTTTACTATCTACATTGACACCAGATGTATATCAGATGTCTCTGGTGAATTCATCCAAGTTCGGCTGCCAGGTTGGTAAGTCAACTAGATAAGGTGTCCTAGATCCTGAATATCTATATCTACTGTATATCTATGCGCACACACACAGAGGCAAAATTCCTCTGTAACCAGTGGAGAGAGATTCAGTGATGCCAAATAAGGTATTGATTTGGTACTTCTCCAATGAGACAGTTTTGCTCAAACACTAAAATCAATGTGTTTCCTTGCTTATCCAAGCTGCTGACAAGAAGCTTGATGAGTTGAAAAACTTCATTGGTGCCCAACGTACCAGCTGCGTGTGAGATGGAGAGAGGAGCGAAAACACAATTCTAGTGTTGTCCTCGGATTTTTGGCTCATCACATTTTTAATTTAGAATTCACACTGGGAGATCAGAGTGAAATGACAACCATGCAGTGGCATCCGCCAATAAATAAACCTTCTTTCTGTTTGCCAATATATTTTTTCTGTTTGTGAAGCTGCGACAGCACATTAAGGTTTTCATTCCAAGTCCAAATAAAATCTATACTTCTAACCAAGAAATTCTTCAAAAATTGTTTTTGTAAAGGAAGTGCTGACAAAAGGAGAGCTATGTAACCCTAATCGGATAACAATCAATCCCCCGTGATCAAATCATTAGGCAAACAATTACAGTTAAC